CCCCAAAACCCCAAAACCCCAAAACCCCATTTATTGGAAATACTTTGAGTAAGGGGGAAGTTTAAGTTCGATCAAATTAATCTTAATTAAGAATAATATATAAAAATAAATGACTCTTGATTGCTCTCCTTACACTGCTAATAAAACTATATCTTAGCAAATCGGGTTATAAACCAGAAATTAAGAAATAAATAAGGGGGTACATAATGATTAATTCCTAGTATCCGTTGAGGCTAATACAAAAGTTGAGAATAGCAATTAACTGTTTGGTGGAGGGACGGAAACGTAGCAACTTCATGATGATCCCGATGACTAGTCGAATCACTAACTACAAGATGATGATTACATGAACTCGTTCGAGGACTAAGTCAACTAGATCGTAGCTTCACCAAATTAGGACTCCTTCTTTATGGATGAAGATATGCCCTCGTAGAATTAAGTTCGGAAAAAACAGGGTCAAACAGAGTTCAACAACTAAAGCGAATTCAAGCTTTAAGCAATGGGGTAAAATTTGAATTAATATGAGGAAGAAAGCAAAAGCTCTCCAAAATAATAGCACTTGCAGCAGCAGCAACTGTAACTCAATGAAAGCAGAACTACTGATATTGGCAGTTTAGGAGAGACAATCAATAATACCAATCCTAAAAATTAACAATAAAATAATAAGCCTTAAAGTTTCAATACTACAAATATGAGAAGTTTATAAGTATCAAAAAATAGTGCTTTCTAAGTTTTCAATAAGTAAACGAACACAAGTATTAGGAACGATCAAGTCCAACAGACTAATCAGAGCAACGCGAGGTGCAATTATAGCGTACTAAATGATGAGGAATAAAAATCTTAAAATAATAATCTCTTTGCAATAAGTGACTCTATCTTGATGATGCTTACTGACGATAATGACCAAGAAGAATCATAAAATAAAAAACAAAATGATAAACCCCAAAGAAGTGAATAGAATCTATTGCTTAGACTCACTAAGAAGTTAGTTGATACTATTTAAATCTGTAATCCAGGATTCAACTATCAGCCAATTATGAATCCCAAGCGTGATCTCACTATACCTTCTGAAGGAGTCCTAAATAACGGTTATGATAACTTAGACAATGATTATATATTAAGAGTCGGAGATTATATTATTACACCAGAGAATAGAGAGTAAGTATCTTAGTAATAATATCTATCTTGTATCATTCTTTTCATACTTATCAGTATTTCTTAAGTAAAATATCTTTAGATATGAAATTTAAGATTTAATGGGCAAAGGGACATTTGGCTAAGTAGTCAAATGCCAATGCAGACAGGGTAAGGAATTAGTAGCAATCAAAGTAATAAAAAATAAGAAGGCCTTTAAGAACTAGGGGGTCATCGAAATTAAGATACTTGATATCGTAAGCTAATATCTTTCTAATCAAATCTTTTGCATAGTTAAACAGAGTTTATGATCCTAATGGCGAGATGCCAATAGTAAGAATGCTTGATTTCTTCGTCTTCAGAAATCATCTGTGTATTGTGTTCGAACTATTGTCAACGTCCTTATTTGATTTACTGAAGGAAAATAACTTCAATGGGATCTCTTTGAATTTTTCAAGATTGATCATATCTAAAATACTGGAAGGAATGAAAGTAATAAAGGATGCAAGATTAGTTCACTGCGATTTAAAGCCTGAAAACATCCTATTTAAGACGTATTTTTAATACATTTGGCTAAAGATTTTAGAAAAAATAACATGAACATAAAGATTATTGATCTGGGTAGTGCTTGCTTTGAAGGCTTCGATTTCTTTCATTACATATAGTCGAGATTCTACAGAAGCCCCGAAGTACTTTTAGGACTGCCTTATGATTCTTCAATTGATATGTGGTCCTTAGGATGTATTTGCGCAGAATTATTTCTGGGAATTCCTATTTTTCCGGGAAATTCAGAATATGATTAATTAGCTAGAATTATTAAAATATTGGGTGTGCCCTCTTAACATCTTATTGCAAAAGCTAGATTTAGAGATAAATACTTTGTCTTCAATCCTGAGACAATGCAATATAGGTTTAAGACATTTGAGGAATACTAGATTACAATGAATATTAGGCTGGAGATTCCAAGAGAATATAATAAGCTAAGATGCCTAGATGACTTAAAGATAGTTTTTATCTAGAAGAAAAGACTATAGCAGTATAATCAAATTGCAAGAGACCCTCATTTTTAAAATGCTTAGAATTTCTAGCCAAAAATTACAGAAAGTGAAATGAATACGATGGATGCCTTTATTGATTTCTTGAAAGGCGTTTTGAGAATTGATAAAGATAACAGATGGACTCCAAGTATGGCCATGGGTCATCCATTCATTACAAGAGATCAATATTCTAATCCATATGAGCCGCTTAGAGATAATGAAATAAGATCTACTTCTGACACAGCAGATGATTCGAACTCTAATCAGAAGTAATCAGTATTATAACAATAGCAAATGAGTAACTCCTCCAAAGATTCCAGGGAATATAAGGCTGGATCCTGTCCTTCTAAAATCCTATATCCATAAACAGCAACTCTGCCTTAGTATCTTCAAAATCAACAGCCGGGCTTTCAGAACCCTCCTTCTTAATAATTTCCTTAAAACTTCCCAGGAAATCAATATGTATTTCATGGAATCAATTCTAATATTTAATCTCATAGACCTCCTATTCTAAGTATTCCCGAAGAGTACTTTAAGGGTTTTATGTTCAGTAGACTTGATTAAATTTTATCAATGACCAGAGAGTAATTACTGTAGTTTGTGTATGAATAGAATGAAATTGCTTTCAGGTAATAATAGGCTCAAAAGATGCATATGATGTAGCAATAGTAACTTATATTCCAACAGCAACAGCAGATGATGATGAATTATCAATAAATCATGATCTAGTAAAACCCCCCACAAATATAAAATCCATAAAGCTTCTAGCAGCCCTAAAATTAGATGTTTCCTCAAAATAGACCATCGTTTGGATAGCCAATTATGAATCAGGGTTTCAACATGAACCCAAATTAAATATTCATGGATTAAAACGCATTAAACTAATAGCAAATAGACCAATAAAGACAGGGATTGAATCAAATTCCAAATCTTAATCAATAATAGACCTAAATTGCAATTGGTGGTGGATAATTCATCTCTGGACCTCCTCCCAATTAATAAGCTTTCATGCAGCAACTCCCTCCGCATTAAATGATGATGCCCTAGAAAATGGTTATGACTAATGAGCAAATTATCTTCAACCCTCCTCCATATTAGATGTAGAAGAATTAACTATAAAATGCAGCTTAGTTTAACGATCCCAATTATAATGAAGCAATGTAATAGCAAAAGGCTTAGGCTTTCAGAAATAGATAAGGAGGCAACTAGGGCAAGCCTGGAAGTTGGTAGCCCCCTCAAGGAATAGAGAAGCAGAAATACAATCATTACTACAATTAGATTAATAATCCTGGCTAAATAATTGGAAGGCCCAATTAAATTGGGGACTTCTAGCAATAATTTATTCATCAAAATCAGAAAATTCCTGGTCTTTCTCAAGCAAATCATCATGATAAAAGCGATAATTCAAAAGTAGGTTCTTTCAATACTAATGATTTCAAGAAGCTTAAGGAAAAGAAGTCTCAAGGTATGAAGAGCTCTGGGTATCAGTTTGCCAACAATGTAATTATTGAGGAAAATTAGTAAGACTAGCATTCAAACTCTGATAAAGGCCAGCATGAGGTCCCATTTCCTTCAGCAAAGCAGTTCTTACCTGTGACTACTGATGCAAATTAGTACCAATAAAAAGACTAATATTTTCCTCTGTTTCAAGATAACTTCGCCTAGAACTCTCAGTTTCATCAACAACAAGTATTAGAGAATTAATACAAAATGATAAATCCTGCTCACCAAATCGGTGGCAGCATCCCTATGAAGCAATTTCCTTCCCCAAAAATTTCATCTGATCAAAACTCTTTCATAATGAATTAAAAAGTGCTTCAATAATAGAATCAAGCAACTCACAGCAGAAATCAAAGTCTGAATAATTTACCAATAGATGGTACTAATACCAATCAGTCGCTAAACAATTCATTCTCATAGTAATCAGTAGGAAATGTATCATTAAATTCTAGTATGAGTGGAAGTAGCAAAAGTTTTTTAAAGAAATTCGAGTAATAAACTGCCAATAATCAGTAGTAGATTAATCCAATAGGAGGTATTGGGGGTGTACCAGACTAGTAAAAAAATTTCATTAATAATAATCATCACTACCATTCTTTTAGAGGAAATGATCAGCAATAGACTTCTCATTTAAAGTAAAGTGGAGCACCTTTCAACATGCCCTAGCATGTAGGCATAGGTGCAAATCTTAACTATTCAATGAGTAGTTACAGGCAAAGAAGCGACAGTGACCAAATTATAACTGATGAATCAGCACCTATAACTTGAAACTCAAATCTTCATCAATATGACAGCAATACTTCGCTTAATCAATCACAAATGTCCTCTGATTATTAGCAAGAAGATTCAATACTGAACAGCTCACGCATGCGAAAGAATTAAGGTTTTGATCAGCTGAAAGAGTAGATAATGAAGTAAACTAATCAAGGCTTAGTATTCTCGCAGTAAGCTCCTCTTTCAGCAAAGGGTGACCAGCATTTTAGATTCGATATGCCTGGTTCACATTAGTCAATGCCTGAAGGATTCAATATCCAATAGAATCCTCAGTCAAACATCGCATAATTTGTTCCATAGAATTTTAGAAGACAGCCGATCAATTCAAATATGCAGCCAATAAATGCTATGAAACCTCCTCTATAGTAGCATCGTCCTTAGAATTCAATTCAACAGATATTCAATCCATTCTAATAGCCACCTCAACAATAAATTGAATAACAACAGATGAGTCAGTAGTAGAACTCAGTATTCGGATAGGGGTTCGAAGAATCGTCAATATTCTCAATTCCTCATCATTAAGTCCAGTCTCAGCACTAATTGCCCTTTTAGCAGCCCAATTAGCATCATTTAATTCATTAGCATTAGCAGCAATAAAATTAATTTATACCTCAAAATCAAGCTCAACTCAATCAATTTCAAATGTATTAGCTTCAACAGTAATAGCATCAATAGTAGCAGCAACAATTCTTTAATTCATAATAGCAGCAGCAATTGTATCATCAGCAGTAGTAGCAACTTCATCATCAACAGCAGATGTTTATGCAGTAGTAACAATAGCAGTAGATACATCAATAACAGCAATAGATGCTCCAAAGCCAAGCACCTCTGATAAAGAAAACAGGGAGTTTTAAAAAAGAGCAATCAAATAGTTTCAAGAAGCTCACACCGATTGACGAAGATAGCTTAAATGAATAATAACATCAAGCGCTTCTCAATCAGTAAAATCTTGCAGCTAACTACAGCACCAATCAGCCATTGCTCTAAAGTCAACAGCTTCATCAGCAGCAGAATCTTTCACAAGATAACTACCATGCCCAATAAAATCTTCAAAATTCTCAATCGATATTCCAAAATGATAGCATATTTTGAGGAGACCGAGTCGAAGATAAAGATTAATGAGGGATTGTATTCTGCTTAAATGAGTTCACCACGGTCTCTCATTAAGACTTAAGATATTCTGAATTCTTATTGTCATCGTCAATAGTTGAGTCTACCGTTTCTGATTTATCCAAGACTCTACCTCTATTAAGATAAGCACTCATTCTTTGTCCCTCAGTTATCTTAGGGATCAAAGTAATAAGATTTAGAATATTTTTGTTTTCTTTAATTCAAATCCTCTCCTTATGCATTTTATCTTTTCTTTATTATCCTATCTATCTCTATTGATGGGGTTTTGGGGTTTTGGGGTTTTGGGG